GGTCGGGCGTGCTCTTCGTGGCCACCACGCCCTCCACACGTCGAAGGCCGACGCCCTTGACGCAATCCTCGGACCTCGTCGCCCTGCAGCCTGGGAATTGTTAACGCGCCGGCCTGGGCCAACGCCTCTCTCCATACACAAGGGTTGTCTACTCCAACAATGTTCCAGCTATGGACCCCCCAGGAAACGACCTTGTCCCGCGAAGAATGTCGAGTCCAGAATCGCTCCTGCAGCCACGGAGCTGCAACGCACCCTCGATTTGCTTGCAATTCGTCACTTCTCGCTCGGCGTGCAGAAGTGCTGCAGGAGCGATTCTGGACTCGAATTTTCTCTGCGGGGTCCGGAATATTGTTGGAGCAGACAACCCTTGTGTATAGAGAGAGCTTTTTACATAAGAATTTAAATGCTTCCATCCCTGGCAGTCTTCCGCGTGCTTTCTTTCTGTGCCGGTGCAGGTTGGACTCCTCCGGGCCGGGCCCTGGATTTTTTTTAGAAAAAATCTAAATGCTTCCATGCTGGCAGACAGTCTTCCGCGTGCTTTCTGTGCCGCAGGTTGGACTCCTCCGGGCCGGACCCTGGATTTTTTTATGTAAAAATCTAAATGTTTCCATCCTGGCAGGCAGTCAGCATTTAGATTTGTATAAATAAAACCGCCTCAAGGGGCACAGGTCATTTGACAAGCATCTCCAGGACCCGATGTGCCTGGGATAGAAGCATTTTGATTTTTGTAAATAAAACCGCCTCAAGGCACGGAGTGTTCCAAGCCATTTGACAAGCATCTCCAGGATCCGGCGTACCTGGGATAGAAGCGTTTAGATCTTTAAATGAATGAAACCACCCTCAACAGGCACAGAGCTGAGTTTCAGGCCATTTGACAAGCATCTTTAGGACCCGGTGTACCGGGATAGAAGCATTTAGATTAAAACCACCCTCATCCTTAAGGTGTGTGATAAAGGGATGCCAACATGCTAAGTGATGGGAAAAAATTAGAGCTGCAGTCAGATGCAACACGCAAACGGCGCACCTTGCGAGGTGGAGGCAGATTTGGCACCTGCGCGCAACGGGAGTGACAGGAAGACCTGAAATCATGGAAGTCCTTGAAGGGCTCGGCGGAAGCTTTCCGCTTTGTCAGGCTGCAACCCATTCGAGCCTGAAGCGACCTTCTTCTCCTCTTATCCTCTTCCTTCTTCTCCGGAAGACGGGAGGCTCCTCGTTCGCCTTTTTTGTTTTTCTTCAAGAGTGGGATGGCTCCGGCGGGAGCTGGCTGGGCGCCCCCTTCCACATCGCTGCCCCTGCCATTTCTCGTGGAAGCGAGCCGTAGGCGCGCTCGTTCGGCCGCTTCTTCATTTTTTTGCTTCGCCTGTAAAGGCCGCCATCAAAGGTCCGCCGGAAGACGACCTTCTACCAGGCGAAGAGGCCTGCATTTTTCCTCTTTTCTGGTTGCGGCAGGACCAGCGAGGGTGGACCTGGCGGCTCTTCCTTCTTCTCCTTTGCTCCTGGAGCTCGAGCATACATCAGCAGCAGCATCAGCAGCAACAGCACATCAGCAGCAGCATCAGCAGCAACATTAGCAGCAACATCAGCAGCAACATCAGCAGCAGCATCAGCAGCACTGCCTCGGCTTTCATCACTGCACCACCCCGGACGTGCGCTGGCAGCGTCCGCATTCCAGATACGGCCGTAGGGCAATATTGCGCTTGCCTCTGCGCGCTGATTTTGTCCGTCGCAAAAAAGGATGGAGCTTGCAGACATTTGCTGAGCTTGCCTATGGATTGGCAACTCTTTGCCATGGAGTCGAGCACTCAAGAGTGTTCTGGTATGGCAGACCAGGAGGTGCTTCTGGTCTGCTCATCAATTGGGTTGTGGAATGCATCAGATTGGCTTGTGAGTTGAAAATTCATCAAAATGACTTGTGAAGGATTGGATTGGCTTGTTCGTTTGCAGATCGGCTTGTGAGAGGGATCAGATTGGCTTGTGAGGAGCATTAGATTGACTTGTGAGCATCAGATTGGCTTGTGAGAGGGGTCAGATTAAATTGTTATGGTTTTGAGAGGTTCGAGCATCAGATTGGCTTCTTAGTTGTACACCAACAAGCCATCATTTGTCATTCATCATCATCATCATCATCATCATCATCATCATCATCATCATGATCATCATCATCCATCGACCATTCATCATCCAGCATCAGCAACATCATCATCATCATCATCATCATCATCATCATCATCATCATCATCATCATCATCATCATCATCATCATCATCATCATCATCACGTCGTTCATGATCAATCATAGATCATCGATCATCTAAAACCATCGCCGCCATCATCCATCAACCATCATCATCGTCGTCGTTATGCAACTGTGATCATCCTCATCATCGTCGTCGTCGTCATCATCCACCATCAGCATCCATCCTCACCGTCATCCATGATCGTCATCATCATCAGGGTCGTCGCATCTTCATCATCACCATAGCCGTCTTAGCTAATTTCTTACACACGCGCGCTCGGCGTGATTTTGTTATCGTCGTCACCCATCATCATTATCATCCATTATCCGTCATCAAGATCATCCTCACCAGGTTGATCAACCATCATCATCATCTCATTATCCATCATCGTCCTCATCATCTCGTCACACGACGACTGTCATCGTAGCATCCTCTGCACGCCGAGCGTTGCCTGACGGCGCAGTTGAAGTGTGTAAAAGATACGGGGTAAGGGTCACGACGCCGATGATGCAATGACCATGACGATGATGATGTTATTCTGCTGCACTACGCCAGTCCTACTTGCGTGGGCCCGCGTCAGGCCGTGCCTTCCCTTGTTTAAACAGGGGAGAGTATTATGGTACAATCATGTGCTCCGCACTTCTCTGCCGTTTTCTCTCCTCCCCTGTTAAAATAAGGGGAAGCACGGCCTGACGCGGGCCCACGCAAGTAGGACTGGCGTAGTGCAGCAGAAAAAGTTAGCCTTTGAGCTGTGTGAGTTTATTATCGCCGTTTTGTCTCACACAGCTCAAATAGCACATCACTCTTTTCGCTCGGGGATACTCACTGCACGTGAGTGCGACCCACCTCATGCCTCAAAAGAGGCGGGATCCTGGCCTTGCAGGGTGTGAGTAGTCTGGAGTCACCTTCCTCCAGCCGGCATAAGATTTGAATTCTAGTCTCAGATGCTGCGTCCGCTGGGTTAGATGCGCTGGCACACGAGAGTACCAGTTCCACATCTGGAACTGCGTGTCAAGCCTGGCATTGCATCGAAGGAGGCTCAGTGTCAAGGCTGGGGAGTACGAACGCACCAGACTTGCATTGACACCTTCATTGTCTATGAAGACGAGGATCTTTCTGCCCTCCAAACGCCGAGCCCATGTCCTTTTTGCAACCACTACCGGAAGCAACTCGGCCTGGGCAATTAATTGCTTGGAGCCCGTGGCCGACCATTGCTTTGCAAGATGGTACTCTCGCACTCCGTGGCGTCGATCAAACAGCAACGCTCCATGCGTCGATACTTTGCCCTCGTCCTCGCGCCTCGACATGCGCTTCAAGACTCAAGGGGCAGTGCTGCCCGTTTGTCTGAGACACCTCTTTTAACCAGAGAAAAAAATATTATTCAAAATGGATTTGCATTTTTTTTCGTTGCAGCACCTCGGCCCTGCACGGACACAACAGCAGCAACATCAGCAGCATCAGATTATATGAGTCTGTCGCAAGCCAACGACGCGCCTTGAGCTGCTCCTGCAAGGCCGCAATGTTCTCAAGGTACTTGTCCGCGGCCTCCTTGCGCCTCAGAACGTGCATCAGCAAAGCTCTTCAGCGCAGCACAGGCCCGCAGCATCGACTGCCATTGCCAGGTTCAATGACGGGCTGGTGACCGTCTCCAGCCTCGAATTAGGGCGAGTGCAAGCTGGGATTGGACCCACAAACTTTCGATTGTGTCATCCCGCCCATAGAGCTGTGTAGAGTTGATACGATGATGTCCTTGCTGTCTTCGGGCAGGCGAAGCTGTGCTGCAACGCTGAGTCGGGCAACTTTAAGGCTATGCGGGGTTATTGCTTGTGCCTTGGCGTCGTTCAAATGCTTGGACGAATGAGGCTCCCATGGCAGTTTGACAGCCCAGCGTAACGTGGTCAAGGCTTGGGTGCAAGGCATTGGCCCTGCAAAAAGGGGAAGCTGTGAGCTGCACATGGAAGTTATTTCAGACACGATCGCTTTGCTCCAACTGCCAGCGGAACTCGGCAGGTTTGTGCAAAACGCGTCCTCATCAGAGGACTCTAGCTCACGCGACTCCGCAGATGAAATTGCTCAGCCCACTCACATGCCTGCCGACTCCAGTGTGTGCCTAGTGCAGATTTCCGCAGGAACCACAGTGCATGTAGTGTACAGCTCGCATGAGCATTTGCAATAGTAGACGTTTTGCACAGCATGCGGACGGAACATTTCCGCGCCGACACGCTGCGTTGCATACCTCGGCCAAGAACGACTCTGCAATCACAGAGCATGCAAGCACGCGTTCTCACGATGAATGAAATAGTGTCCAAACAACTGCTCTGTGACATCGGCGTCAACCTCCTTGCACCCCTGAGCCTGCGCCTTTGAGCAACACCAGATAACAAGGTGCTGAGCGACGCGTTTGCGTTCGATGGCCCTTTTTGGTTACATGTTCTTCCTTTGGCTTGATGCAGTGAACAGGATTCTGACAATGCTGATAGATTGGGGTCCTGAAGGCTCAAACCGTGAATCCTCTCCTTCATTAACATTTGAAACAGTGGGACAACGCCCAGCTTGGTAACCGAAAAGGAATTTGGCAAAGAGATGCGGATGTGTGGGTGTTTGACACGCATGTCGTCCAACTTTCAGCTTCAAGTCGAGTGCATGGAAGATGAAAGGTCAAGAAACCTCAGTCTTTTTCACACCCAAATTCTATTCCAAACTTCTGCCTGACCCAACAGATCGAGTCAGCTCGAGGCGTTACACCACACAGCACCAACTCACGCAAACAGTGCTGACCATTTTGGCCGTTTTTGGCCTTCGGATTGCAAGAGGCAGGCGGTCGTGGTCGTTCTGTCGGACGGTCTTCTTGACATAGGCTTAGACATTTGATGACTGAACATTCGCACCTTGGATGGATCGTTTGTTTTGGGTACCGTTCCTTTCTAGTTTTCTCTGACCTGCTTTTTGATGAACTCTGAAATTTGCTCCTAGGTTTGTTGCCCCTTCTCTACTTCCCACAGATCCATCCCTCCAGATGTTTGGAATGAGTTGAACACCCTTTCATGACTTGCACCTCGGAGACCTCCTTGGGGATACTGCGACCGCGAACAAGGGATGGCCACTTCAGCGTTTCTTTTTCTCTCCTCTCTGTTTTGTTCCCTCAGTACCACGAGATAAATGGGCGACTTCAGCAACCATGACACCTTGATCGGGTGGTAGGAATCGGCGCATGGTGTCTGTGCCTGTCTCAGAAAAATCACCAGCTGACTGTCAGCTGAAAGGCATATTGAAGTGGATGGCCGAGTATGCTGGTTTCAGACATCCACACCCACGTGAGGTGCATTATGCTCCAGGCAGCTTCCCCCAGGTTTATGCAGACACTTGGGCATGTTTTTCTCAACAGGCTGTTAGATGCACCTGAGGCCGCATTGCGCTGAGCGATGTTCGCGGGGGGCTCGACTGAGAATTGGCCATGCGCTTTGAACTAAGCTGCTCCCTTGGTTCGACCGCCACCAAGATGGTCTTCCAACTCACAACTCACGGCCGTTGGATGGACTGGTCCAAATGTTGACGAACTTTGGCTGCTTTTGGGACATGACAACAAAGGTGTCCTCAAAAAACACAGAAGGCTGCATTTGTAGACCAGCCCAACTCTGAGCTATGAGTGAAGTTGACCCCAAATGATTGACAAGAAGCATTTGGATTAAGAGGGGCGTTGCCCCAAGAGTTCCCGCTTGCAAGGGGCACCCGCAACAAACAAACAGCCGCGTTGCTGGCTTCCGATTATAGACTAGATTTGAATTCAAAGGCAAATCTCAATGAAGGCTTGCATGTTCCCGAACGCTTGGCAGGTGCTCTGCAGTGTGACGGCTTTCCGCTTTTTGAGTTCTTCACATTGGTTTGGGTGGACCCCGTTGATGCCAGTGTTTGATTAGGGCTCAAGTCATGCCGACTTTCTGCTCGAAATGGATTGATACTTGGTGTCTGCGACATTCATGCTTTGACCATGGCGCGTGTCAAGGTCTACCTGAGCAAGAAGATCGCCATACCACACCAGCTGGCATTGCAGGCACAGATGACGTTCGCCTTGACTTTCCGATCGTAGGATTTTGTTATAGTTTGGCCTGAAGTGGAAACATGAATCAGACTCACGAGGAAAGCGATGGATGCTACAGTTCGTGCCCAAATCTGTGAAAGAAGGCAACCACGCAATGTTGGCTATGTCCTCCCTGCGAGGTGGTCTCCTGGAATTCCGCTCAAGGATGGATTGCTTGTGGTGGTGGCGGGCTTGGATTTGCTTGGACTTGGAGTAAAAGCCCTTTTTATTATTATGTTGATTCAGGGGAGTACTGTGATTGTTTGTTTGCGCATTATCCCGCTTCACAGCAGAGACTGGCTGGGCCAATGCCCATGCCAGTTCATTTTTTTCTGTTTTGCACAGTTTTGCCTCAGCCGAAACAAGGCCTGTAATTCGCACATCACGGGGAGATTCACCAAGCATGGAATCAAAGAAAGCACATAAAGGGAAGCATATGCGGGCGGGGTGGTGGTGGGGGGGTCTTAATCCTTTTAGAGGTGCAAGGGCATGACAATAGACCAGAGAGTTAAGTTTCTTTTTTTTAGACCCCCACTGTGCTTCATGCACGTCAGACGCGGACTGAGCTCTTGGCACAATTGCTTGAAGGTCACAGCGAGAGCAGAATGGTCGAAACCCTGAATCAGCATGTTGACATGAGCTCGTTGATTTCGCTTCTGACATCGGCAAGATATTGGGCTTTGAGACAATTAGGGTCTAGATTTGGAGCATGTCATGGGGCTCCCTGTGTTTGGCTCTTTTTGGGTGATTGAATTCAGGTTTGACCTTCCTTGTGATGTATGGGGGACATTCAAGGAGGAAAAAGCATATTTTGGCAGTTGTTGAGGTGAGAGTGGCCTGCTCAAGGCGGGCTCGCAGGTCTCCAGCCATTCATTCCCGCGGGAGGGTTTTTTTTTTTTTTTTTTTTTTTTTTTTTTTTTTAATAAAGTTTTCCAAGGGGGCCAAAGGCTTGAGTTGCACTTGGCCGAGGTGGCGCATTCTGGGCGGCTAAGCAGTTTTGTCCCTAGGAGAGGTGACCGTTTCAACATTGGCAATGATGGATCTGGGATGTCGGGGGCACGCTTCTCAACGAAGAGTATTCACAATCATTACAATACTAGTTCCATTGGGCACGCTCACCAAACTAAGATTAGGACACAGGGGGTTTACCCACCATATTCCCACGCCAGTCAGGAAGCAAAGTCATGTTGATCGTGGCTCCTGTCCGAATCCTGAGAAGCGGCCAGCTGACAGCTGAGAAAAAACCCAAGCTGGACAAAAAGGGCCACGGCACTGTAGGCTGAAGGGCTCTAGTGCAATGGACAGAGACTCACCTGTCCGACCCACGCGCCATGTGAGGAAGTGGTCTTTGGGAGCCATTTTCTTTTTTCCGCCCAATTCGGAGTTGTGGCCATGGACCGGAGAGGGTTTTTGGTTCGGATTGTTTGTTCCCAAGTTAGTTCTTGGTCTCCCCTTTCTCTCCCGGCCCAAAATTCCGTCGATTCGCCAGGTGCTGAAGTTGGAGTCCTCCGATGGCCAAAAGGCGGCGGCCGGGCAGAGCTGTGGCCCCAGCCTGGAGAGGTGAGAGAGCAGCTTGAATCTCTCCCGCATGCTATTAGACTGCTGCAAAGAATCGTAGGGGATACCTCCCACTCCTCGCGAGGTACAAGACAAAGGTTGCAAACAAAGAGGGACCCTAAAGGCAAGAGGCGTTTGTTTCTGGGAACCCTTACCTTTTGGTTTCTCTTTGAAAGGCCATACCAAACGTCCCCTGTTCTTCGGCAACCCCATCTATGAGGAGTCTTCGGGCGACAAAACGTAGTGTTTCAGGTGTACTGGGCCTTAGCCACCCTCAGAATGCCATTCTTAGCCTCTGCAGTGGCTCCAAACCACTAAATGAAGGAAGCAATGCCCGCTGAGGTTGTTATGGGAAGAACACTTGGAGTGTGTGTGTGTGTGTGTGTTTGTGTGTGAAAGAAAGCAAGATACTCAGTGTACGAGACTTCTCTACTACTGCAGCCTTTTCTCGATTAAGGGTTAGAAATTATGGCTACCGACCGATTAATGTTATCTAAAGAGGAGAGGATTGACATGGGACGCTTAGCCTGCCTTTGCCGTGAGAAGCAGTCATGATACCAGGAACATGTATTTTTTCCTTTCATGCAGAGCTGGTGGCGACCATTGACAACCAGTCGCTACAATTGGGTCACAGTGGTGATGGGGTCAGTGACCCACCGAATGTTTTCTCCTAAGTTCCCTCAGCAAATGTGCGTGCATTTGGTTGAGGCAACCTCTCAATGAACCAGACCTTGGAAGGTCACCAAGGCTGGGACGCGGGCGACTGTAAAGCACGAAGCGCATGCTTCGTGGAGCATTTGCTTGGCACGAAGGCGACCCTTCTTCCACCAGTGCCTTTGCCAGAGCATTTGACAAACTTCATTGGTCGATTCTTCCTGTCAGGCACTATCATGGTCATCACCTGGAATGAAAACTTCCGGAAGTTGACCACGAGCGACCAGCCTGACTCCTAGAGCTTTCCTCCCTTGTGTCCGTGTAGCACATCAGAGAACGTCGCTGCGGGAGAGACCGTAAAAAAGATGTGGGACGTTTTTGGAACCACGGATTTCTCCGGCGCACCTTGGAAAGGGAGTTCAAACACGACAGTTTCATGATCGCGGCATGTGCTTTAGCAGGCGTGCCGTCAAGCACTGTGTCCATCGTCAGACTGCCAAGGAATGGTCTCATCATTGTTTGGATGCTGCACAGAGGGATATGGTTCGAGGACTGGCAGCAACGTTTCTCGTATTTGCATTCTTCCTGTCTGGGGAAACTACACTTGGCGAACAAGTTTTCAAAGGCACCCTGGGGCTTTCCTGAGTCACACATCTACTCTCCGGAAGTTTCGGGGGGCTGCAATGTCAACCTGCCCAGCCGGCCTGTTTGAGGAGATGATTAACAATCGCAACAGAAGTGTGGTGCGGGACATGAAGTGGAGCGCCAGCCTCAGCCAGATATGTTTTGGGTTTGACGGATCATTTTCATAGCACAACCACACCAGGCAAAACGCAGTCTTTGCTGTTGGGAACCATGACACCAGTGTGCTCAGGCAAAATGAAAGCCTTTTTCTACCAATAAAGAGTGTGCCCATTCTTGACCTACTGCTACAATATTACTTTGAATCTATGGCTGTAGCTCTCATTTGTTCTGGGGATAGGGATGAAAGCCCCACGCCTCCCTTGCGGGCTGATTTGTGCTCAGCTGAGGTGCTGATTGCCAGAAGTGCTCCGGCTGCAATTTTCCTCTGGCAGAGTGTTGGGCAGCTTTGGGCAGACAGGGGGATTTTTTTGACCTGTGCAAGGGGTTCCTCTGGAAGCATTTGCAGGATCATTTGCTTGTGTAGGATCTGCATCATCTACGAAGATGGCGCTGTGATCGTTGGCACTGTAGATGGACAAAGGCCCCAAGGGTGCCGAGAGGACTCGGTTTGCGTGCTGGCTTTGTTCAAGCTTGGTGCTGGCTTGGTGCTGGGTTTCCGACCGGGAAGGAGGGGGCATTCAACCTGCAGCATTGTGTCACATGCCTGGGGTGTTTTTTCCCGCAGCAAAAATGTAGCAGAAAAGGTAGCTGCCGCGGAAGGCTTTTTCTCGTGATTTGCTCTTTCTAGGATTACCAGCAGAGCGTGTGTGCACACTCACGGATACCTTCCTCAATCTACAGAAACAACTTGCCCCGTTGAAGGCCCGCGGAAGCACTTATATAGAAACATGCTCGCTCAAGGTACCCTTCACACCGAAGTTTTGCGGAAGGTTTCGCGGAAGGGGCCCTTACATCCAATCAATTTTAAAGAGAAACACCACCGCTCAAATGCGTCCTGTCTGGGCTTCCGTCCGGTGTAGGATGTTTACCAAGCAGCGAATAAGCGACTCGACGCAGTCTTGAGACTGTCCCTTTGATTGAACAAGTCCTTTGACCTTGATGGGGCAGGAATGAGAAGAGTGTCGGCCAATTCGAACCCGCACTTCCGAAAACATGGCTGTCGATCTTCACGCATGCTGGGTGACACAACATGAGAGACATATTTTCTCAGGGATCCTTGCAAAGGGCGGCAAGGGTCCCCACACCGACATGTCCATATTTTGGCAACCAGCTCTCAGGACGACTTCAGCTGGCATGCAACGCACACTCTGCTACACTGAGCTGCATACCCTCAGTCTGTCGGAGAAACTTTTGCGACGCACCTCGCGATTGGAATCAATCTATCCAAACCAGAACCTTTGCTCAGTGAAAGCATCTTCTGGGTTTCATATGAAGGGGCGAGGTTGTTTGTATTCTGTTTGCGTCTTCTGTGTGTTTGCCTGGTTCGCATTTGTGCAGGCTGTGGGGCAAGGAGGCCGGGAGCTTAAACAATATTTTTCATTCGTGCTGCAAGTTGGAATGACTGGTTAAGCCAGAGAGCATTGTTCTTTGCTGGCGGCCGCGTTCTGAGCGGCCATGTTCCTCCCTGAATCGCCTCAGTGTGCAGGCTTCAAGGATGGAGCTGATTCAATGAAGCAAAGCAACAAGACAAGCAATGCAACACAGCAAACACTGCACCAAAACCGGTACGAGTTTCGGCTGAAGCCAGCAGCCCATTTGTCTTTGCCGCTGATCTTTTCAAGTCCTTCCCTAGGTGAAGACGCAGCTGGCGTTTGTGGAGTGGTCCCCGGACGGCAAGAACATCTTGTTCTGCACCCTCAACGGCGAGGCTTTCGGAAGCTCCGGGATCGGCGCGGGTTTGGGTGCCTCCCTCCACCCTCCCAACCCCTCCCCCAACCCCAGCAAAATCGTTGGTTTTCCCCTCGGTTTCCGGTTTCCCTTTAAACTGGCCTGAAAATTCCTCCCCAACAAATCAAGCATCTATTTGGCTTCAAAACGATTGTTCTCGGCTCATTGGCCAGGTGCATGTTTACGACAACGAAGGCATCTATTCACACAAGGTGCCCATCTACTGCCCAGCCGCCATGCTTCGGGATCGCGAAGAGCACTTGGGATAAGACTACTAGATCCAGGCGGATGGTGGACCGATTGGGGTGTTTGATATTTGTTTTGGGTGCTTTTCTGTTTTCGACCAGGGATTATGAAGTGCAAGTCTGCAGTCCATTTGGACTTTCGCAATAGTCTCCGCACTTTTGGTCGCATTCTTGGCATCCTTCCTTTTTGTTTGTGTGCGGAGAAAGCAGATGGACACAGTTTGACAAAGATTTGGCCCATTAACCCAAATTCAGCATTCCACCCAGGGAACTCCAAAACCTATCATCAGCTGGGCTCGACACGGAAAGCGAGCAGCCCAGGCCTAGACAGCGGTACCGAGGGTACCGTGGCCATTGCGGGCATCGACTGGTTTGCGGGGCCCAGCGGACCTGACAACCAGGCGGAAGCATCCGAGGAGAACACGGAAGGTTTCATTTTGCTTGCACAATATGAAAGATAATTTTCAAGAAGCATACATACAATACAATCACACAGGTACAGGTATGTATATATGTGTATGTATACCTAGGCCCATGTGTATGTTTCTGTTTACGTCTATTCGTGTCATGTGCGTGTGTATGTGTATTTGCATGTTTATGTATATGCGCATGTAAATATAGATATGAAATATGTGTGTAGGTATGTGATGTGGTGTGGTGTGGTGTGAAGTGATGTGATGTGATGTGATGAGATATTATGTTATGAGGTTATGTTATGTTATGCAGTATATGTAATGTAACGTAACGTAATGTAACGTAGTGTACTGTATGGATGTATGTAATGTAATGTAATGTAATGCAATGCAATGCAATGTAATGTCATGTAATAAAAATGTAGTGGAATGTAATGTATGTATGTGTGTGTCTGTATAAATGTATGTAATGTAACGCAATGTAATACAATACAATGTAAAGTAATGTAGTGTAATGTAGTATGATGTAACAAAGCGTACCGTGATATGTTATGTTAAGCATGTATGTATGTATGTATGTATGTATGTATGTATGTATGTATGTATGTATGTATGTATGTATGTATGTATGTAATGATGTAATGTAATGTAATAATGTATGTATG